ATTCACCAGCAATCTTTATCATTCGTGTACTGTGCATGTTTACTATCCAGTCAATCAGTGCCGGTTCAACTTTATGTCTACTGAGTGCACATTGTATGCTGGAGAAGTTCGTTCTATCAAAAGCACCTTCTATATCAATGAAGGAACGTAGACATATTTCTTTGTTTTGGATGGCCTCTTCAATCTTTGTTATTACCTGGTGAAGTGCCGATTCTGTTGATTTGCCTAGACTGTAGGCGTGTTGCTTGTCGTGTAGTGGTAAGTTCATTAGCGCCATTATCGCGTATATTAACTTATTTTATATTCCCGACGTTTCAAGCACTTTACAGCACCCATGGTCACGGGGTACTGAGGTGTATGACGTCCTAATGTCATAGTTAACCACGGCTTCCTTCAGATTAAAAAATATTAATTTATGTTCCAATCTACGCAATATGAACTTACAGTATCATGAAGTCTTGCAGTTGGGTTGGAATTTAATTTGGTTAATTATGGGATCCCAAGCAGATGGTAGCACCCAGCCATCTTCTCTATTGAAATTAGGATGTTTTTTGATTTCTATAGCCTCGCGAATCATTGGAAGGAATCCGTGTTCTTTAGTGAAGATTTGTGGTCTATCAAATCAAATGTAGTGACGAGGGCGATCCTGTACGTGTTTACAGACTGCAGACTTCCTGGAGCGTCGATTCTTCACATCAGCTATGTGTTGTTTAACGCGGGTTTTTATGGATCTTTTAGTTTGTCCTATATAAGAGAGACCACATTCACAATCAAGTTTGTACACTCCTGCATCTTGCAGAGGAATATTACACTTGACTGATGGTAAAAACTGACTAATCTTCTTCGGCGGCTTGAAGTATGTTTTAATGGAAGCACGCTTCAAGATGTAGCCAATCTTGTCAGTGACACCTCTGACATATGGCAGTACAGCAGGCACTCGCTCTACTATGGCCGGCTTCACTCGTTCACTGTGACGTAGGCGCGGGACCCGAAGCTTATTGTCGTGCAAAACTTGCTTGACGTATTGGAGCTCGGCGGCCAGGTATTTACTGTCACAGATCCCTCGTGCTCTCTGAAACAAAGATTTACCCACGGTACCTAACTGTGAAGGATGATGTTGAGAATCACCGTTTAAATAATATCTATCTGTATGGGTCTTTTTTCTATACACAATGGCTCAAGTTGTTATCAGGATTCCGAATTACTAACACATCTAGAAAAGCTAAAGCATTGTTGCCTCTAACTCCATTGTGAACTGAATTTTAGAATTTAAGGAGTTAAGATGGTCTAAAAATGCAGTTACTTTATCCAAAGGTAGAATTGTGAAAGTGTCGTCTACGTACCGCTTGTAGAATCTTGGGTTTACGGGAGAAGTATGCAGGCCTTTCTCCTCAAAGTCCTCCATGAATATATCGGCGACAATGGGAGATACAGGTGAGCCCATCGCCACTCCATCTACTTGCTTGTAGAACTCCTCCTTCCAAATTAGGTAACCAGATGTAAGGCAGTGTCTGAGTAATTCTGCATATTCTAAGGGCATGTTGTTTTCCTCTAGCCTTCTAGTAACAATCGAGATGCAGTCGTCAAAAGGTAAGCATGTGAACAGAGACTGCACATCAAAACTGACCATAGTTTCATTGTCTGCCAGATGTAGGTCTTAAATCTCGCTGACAAAATGCATGAACGGTAATCTAACAAAAACGCTCCGATCTACATACCATAAACAAATCCATAGACACATCATTCAGTGAGTTAAAGGTAGTTTTAACGAGATTTGATTATAATGTTTGCATCGAAACATTAAATAAATGAGAAATTAATAAATATAACGAATGCAAAAAAATCATATAGTAAAATATCAAAAATTAACGACCAAATTAAATGTCAAACATCGGTGTCAACTGCCGCCGACTACGAATGCGGATCATAGATTAAACGCGGTCTATAATCTGTCAAAACAAACTCTGGATTGAGCAACAATTAGAGTTTTATCGAAAGGCCTTAATTTTGCTATAACACCGAAAAAATAACCCTACGAAGAATTTATCTGTAGTGTCGAGGACTGTTTATTTAAAAACCATATGCGAAAGGAAGATTTGGAAGCGATACGTCAAGACATTTCGTCTATGTTACGTCGAAGTTCAGCGCCAAAACCGAATCTACTAAAAGATGAATTTAAAGCGTTGAATAACCTACGCAATAAACCAGAACTCACGATTCTCTGCACAGATAAGGGAACTAACGGAGTGTCGCATAGCAACCTGTGCAAAATTGTAAACGCTCCACTCAAAACTTTGCGTGTGTATGATGCTGCGGAATAAAGGGCTCATAAAACCTTATCGTGATCTATTTACTAAACAACGTAGTAACATTTCATACCACAAACTCTAGTTTCTTAATTCTGAGTATTAAAAAAATGTATGATTTTTGCATAATATATATTATTTGCATAATTTACACACACACACACACACACACACACACACACACACACACACACATATATATATATATATATATATATATATATATATATATATATATATATATATATATTTATATATATACTTTATTGCAAAATCATCATAAATATAATATATTACTTGCTAAAATTTATATCGAATTTTCCTTTTAGCTTTCCCATACAACTAATTTACAACATACCTAAATAGATCACATTTGACGTGCTATAATTAGTGAATGAAACCCAAAAGTATACCTTTTCGTATTCATTGTCTTTTTAAATTGTCAAATACAAAGCGAGAAAGAATCATAAATACAACCCTGAAAATTAAAAAAGAAATCATGTACAGTCAATTCTGGCAACATTGCCATCAGGGGTATACTGGTATAAAATTACAATTAAAATGGAAAACGTAACGTTTTTCGAGATATGCCATTTATTGTATGAAAATACAGTAACTAATTGATAGCATTGCTTTCAAAATGGCAAGATGAGAGTTAGTTTTGGCATTTTATTTTAACGCAGATTTGTGCCGGTGAAATAATCTCTCTCTTCAGTGCTGTGCTCTAGAACTTTTGTTGATTTTGTTTCCAATACTGAATGTAGGTATCCATATCTTTGCAGTAAAGTAATGTTAATTGTTATTAAATGTAATATATCGTTTTAACATGTTGGTCTTAATATTTATCTATAAAACTAACTTGGCAAAGTTACTATACTAGTAATGCCACGATGTGACGGTTACTTTGTCACGTTTTGCTACAACCAAGTGTTGTCGCTTTTAACCTGTATTTTTAACCGAATACAACTATTTAAATAATGTGTTCTGTAGTTGACATTCTACGTATGTATGTTTGTGTCGATGTTTCACAGTAGCAGTCCAATAGACCGATCGGTAAGATCGGTCTATTGATGAAATAATGAGTCGTCAGTCAATTCATATTTATCAAAAGTGAAGGAAAATAAAAGAGAAATCTATATTAATTTTACTCGTTTTCGGGCATTAATAATATTATTACTACTCAGTATTTTTCATTATTTCAACTAAGTGTATTGATATTAATTTGCACCTAAAAAGCAGTGTCATTTTTTATGATTTTTAATGTTTTGCTATTGTGGGAAACAATATTTAGATTGATTACTCTCTATTAGCTCATAAAGCCGACATCATTTTATTACGACCGACTTGTAATAAACTTTGCTATTTACAACAATATTAAAGGAGCAAATCATAACTATGAGTTTTGTGTATTTTATTATGAGATAAACTTATCTTGATACTTGTAGTTAAAACCTATTATTTTCACTATAAGCCCTGATGGCAAAGTTGCCACAAAGTGAGGTTAACTTAGCTTAGCTTAGCTATTTTGTCTATTTGATATTAACAAGTCTTTAAATCACTAATAAATACCAAATCTATAAAGAATATAATGTAACATTTAACAGTGACGCCCAGTCTGACAGTACATTTTTGTTGGAAAAAAGGGTCCTAAACTATTAAGTCCTTCCAAAAATAATAAAGTTACCAGGTATACCGTGAATATCTGAAATCGCTATTCCACGGTATTTGTCTGTCAACATATAAAACAAATTTCAAGATATATATTTGCCTTGAATTATTCAGGAAAATACACACAAGTTTAATGTTTCCGATTACAAATATAAGCCATGAAATAGTTTATCTCAAAGTATAACACACACGGTACAAAAATAACTATTTAAAAAAACATGGTAGTCACATGCACAAATGTATGAAACGTGGGTTCAACCCAGCTGCTGACGCAAAACTAACCAAATGTTTTAAAATGTATAACTACGCAAAGTTATATTATCAATTCAATAAAAGAATTTGCAGTAAAAAGAGTGAACGCAGTAATTCTAAATACCTCGAAACATGCACTCAAACGTATCTCACAGAATACCAGCATCAAATAGCAGCTTAACACTGCTGAGTTTCGTATGGTGACTGTAGAGAACCGGAGACCCTTTTTACTGGAAAAGAGGCATTCCATCTTAGTCCTCACGGGTGACATCGCATCTGCATTTTGATTTTGAGGATAAATGTAGATGTCTATGGGCCGCAGCAACCACTTACCATCAGGTGGACTGTGTGCTCGTTTTTCATCCTATCCTATAAAAAAAATGCAGCCAGTTTTAAAACCCCTCAGAATTAGGTCCCCTTACTTTTAGTTGGTTTCAGCATCCTTTATTTAGTCCACTGGACTAGTTTCTTATAGGAAATATTATATGTTTTATTATATGTATGGACAAATTAAACTCAAATTATACTTGAGGATAAGTAAATATGATTACCATTGTATTCATTGGTATAAATTAAATGTATGTGAATTAAAACAAAATGTGCAATATGAAAACCATTCTTATAACTTTTAAGTATAAATCTGCACACAATATCATTTTTGAATTGCATTGCATGCATTGTTAGAAAATAAAATATTATAACAGCTTTTAATTAAAATATATACCATACATATAAATGCAACACTGCCTATAAAATTGGTATTATATGATTGTTTTATGGTTTTACTTCGATATTCCTTGGTATAAATTCTACATCAGCATTTGATGGTCTAACTTGAAACTGTTCTTTCTTATACTTAACTTCATAACCTTGAACGAGAGTTTTTATTGTAAAGTATCGAAGAAGATATATGAAACCAGTCATTATTTGAATTCTAGCAAATCTTTCTCCAATACAGATTCTCATCCCTCTTCCAAAAGGCATGAAAGCAAGATCAGTAAATGCTTCAGATTCACGTGAAAATCTTTCCGGAATAAATTTGTCAGGTTCTGGAAAGAGTTTCGGATCACGTTGAACTTCAAAAGGACTAAATAATATTTTTGTTCCTTTCTCTATTTTGATATTCCCGACGGGTAATACGGAATCTTTTACACATTGTCTTCCGAGTAAACCAATAGGAGGATACATTCTCAGGCCTTCATTCAGAACCATTTCAAGATATTTTGCATCAGACAGGCACTCATATGTCAGATTGTTATTATACTTCTTAAAAATATCATCTATTTCATCATGAACCCTCTTCAATATTTCTGGATTACGACCTAGTTCAATTAACGTACAAAACAAAGCTAATGCACTTGGTTCAACACCGGCTATGAAAAAGAAAAATGCTTGAGCCGCCATAAGCTCATCAGTGGGCTCAATGCTGACTCCAGTTTCTTCGTCTTTTATCTCTCCTTTCTTTTGCAAATTTACACATATGTCTGCAAAATCAGGTTTCTTCACACCTTCCTTTTCCCTTTGTCGTATCAACTGTTTTACAGCATTGATAAAAAATGTTTCATGCTCTGCGAATAACGCTAGTTTCAACTTCCCGAATAACCACGGACTGACTAGTAAAAGTGAAAACCTTAAATTTGTCCAAAATGTAGGCACGGCCGCATTTTGGGCCATACGAAGAAAAGGTGAATCAAAAATGGACTCCGTAGTAATACCAAATATTGAAGCGCCAATTGCTGCACTACAGAAAGTAGAGAGGGTTTCAAATGCATTTCCTTTTAACTTCTCTGGGTGATCATTCAAATATTTTACAAAGTCTTGCGCACTTTTGTCCATAACAATGTACATATTCTTGAGTTTGGCGACACTAAATAAAGGTGTCATATTTTGCCGCATTAGCTTCCACCGCTTGCCGTTCATAAACGGAATACTATCAGCCAAACGGTCTCCTGGTGGTACTTCAACTCCGTTGTGATAGAAGGACTCAAAATCCACTTGTACAATATGCCGTATGTTTGTAGCATCCCTGACGAGTATTGTCGGAGTACTTACAGAACCAAAACCAACGGCGGGTGCATCAGGGTATTTTTTGTAAATGTCACCGAGTACTTCAAAAAACGCCCGCTCACCAAACACGAAGTCCCAAAACGGACCCCAGATTTTATTCCTTGGATAAAAGGGAACACCACGTCGTTTCCAGTAATTTTCGTTATATTTGCCAAAGTAATGAGTGTAACCAAGCACTAAGGCTATTAATAAAATTAACACCGGAATTAACATTTCGATGTGTTATTGTGATGCGTATAATGTTACAAAATGACATGAATGCGAGTAACTCATTCGCTTATATAGTAAGAGACCTATTATCTTGAGGTAATTGGACACGCTTTTAAGTACGTATCAAGTTTACAAACAGTCAGCAAATAATAAACTAGTAATAACTAAAGTCTAAATTTATTATTTTATACATTTTTGTTCTGTATAAAATATTTACTCGTACTTGAATTATTACCGAAGATATATTGGAATTTTCTTAGTTTTAATAAATGAATTATATAAGAATCTTCATAATCATTACAGGCTTTCAAAGCCTGCATCTCTTACTAGGTCATTACTCCATCTAGTGGGGGCACTATTGTTATTTTATTTTATTTCTATTTGACGTAATTAATTTTTATTTATAAGAATATTAATGCGGTTGAAAGGTTGACTCAACCAGATAAGAACCACGCTCTCACTCAAGAATTTCAGCATATAAAAGGCTTCTATGTAGCGTATGATTTGTGAGGAAAAGCCGAGATATATTTTAAGAAATAAAGCACCCCATTGCAGCCATCTGGGGTCGAAACACATCCGCATCTACATCATCAATCGAAGATATATGGAGGAACAATATAAGTATTTATGGGCTATAGCAACAAAATAACATCAATAGTTAGTCTGTGTGTTCGTTTATCAATGTCAGTGAAATAATAAATTAATTGCTTCATTTTTTTTTTTTTAGGATAAGCGTGACAAACCAGCACACAGTGAACCTGATGGTAAGTAGTTGCCCATAGACATCTACATTTATACTCGACTACGAATCAAAATGCAAATGCGTTATCACGTGTGAGGACTAAGATGAAATGCCTCATTTCCTGTAAAAGCAATGTCCAGTTCTCTACACTCACCACACGTGGTACTTTGTGAGAGCGTGGCCCTTCCCCGGTAGAGCCGACCTATTCGTGCTACAAATATACTACAAATATAGCTGCAGCATGATTTTACCACTTATAAAAAGAAGTAATATTACTCTTACAGAAATAAAATAATATATATTATATTGTGTTGTGAATATTTTAAGGAAAATGCTGTCAGACACTTGTCTTGTTTTTATTGTTGACATAATATCTCATACTTTGTAATACCATTTTTAAAGATTTCTGCAAATTCACTGAGTTTAATTTGAAATAAATTACCCTGCATTACGTCTACAATGTTAGCATAGTTCATCTACATTACTAAAGTACAAGGAAAACAATTTTGGAAATTGTATTTAATTCATAATCTACGATTGATAAGTATAATATATGGTCTGCAGTGTTTACTTGTGTTTACTCACAAGAGGCGACCTCTTACCTGCGGGATGATGTAGGATAGTGGATATTCTTACAAAGCCACTAATCGGCCACTTACTGAACATAGGCGTGACCTAAGCAGACACGGTCCTAAACCATACTATGTTCACTTTCCAATAACGACACCATGTACGCTTCATCAGGTCGCCTATCGATGATTTAATAATGCGTATTTGTACGCGTGTCTAAATTTAAGTTAATATTTTTAAAGAATAGGGGTGACAAGCAACCACACAGTCTTTCTGATGTTAAGTGACTTCTGTGGCCAATAAACGTCTACATTTATCCTCAATTAAGAATTAAAATGCAGATGCGTTGTCACCCCTAAGAACTAAGATGGAATACCTAGTTTATAGTAAAAAGTGTCTTCGATCCTTTGCACTCATCATACGAAACATTTTTCGCTGATATTCTGTGAGAGCGTGGTCCTAGCTTGGTCGAGCTGACCCATTCGTGATGCTACTATAGTATTCTGCAGCGTGGATGAACCACGTAAAAAAAAAAACATTTATAACTATCAAAATCCTAAATGCTTTATAAGTTATTATAGTTTAACTATTCATACAATATCAATTTTAATACATGCAGAGACAAATTACTTTTATTAAATTTTCTTATTTTGGGATTATAGTTTAGTTGGAACTATGTTGACACAATTCAGTGGATTGTAGGTCACACAATGCTCTAATTCATTTTTTATGCCCGACAACTGCCTTATTTTGATCAGTGTGTTATTCATTATGGGACCTTCATTATGAGACCATAGCGTAGTAATGATTCTATGTATGCAAGATGGGAATTCACAGCCGCCTTTATGTTTTGGATTTGTTTAAGAGCATTGAGGAATGTATTTAATTTGATAGAAATATCGTTTACATGTATTTTCCAATTTATATCATCATCAGTAATTAAACCTAAAAGGTTTTATTTGTCTAACGGCTTTAATTGCAAGATTATGTTGACTATTTTTACATTTTTATTATTTAATTTAGTATATTTAAAGATTTATCAAAATTAATTAAATGATCTATTGTATTATGTATTTCAGTCTCAAGGTCACTGATATAATTTTTTTTATTGGATGCAATACATTTATGTAAAACAGAAACAGAATTGAACTGGAAACACTTCCCTGTGGAACGACATATTTATTGTATCTGTATTTAGACGAGTACGGTATAATGTCGTCATTTACATTTAATTTGGTAATAATGACACGTTGTTGTCTATTACTAAGATATGATGATATTCATTGAAGTGAACATCTATTCTTATTCTTATTCCAAATTCTTTATTCGAAAAGTTTTCTTATTATTGTAACATTAGGTCATAAGAAACTGGGTTGAAGATTGTAGATACGTCTAAAATGTAGTACTCGTAAAGTAGTATTTATTCGCAGTTTTATGTATGTGATTAAAATTATTTTTGTTAAAAATTATAAAATTTGAGAAACTGATAAAATTTGTAATAAATTTAAAGTTTTACGTTCCTAGATAATCAGAAAGATAGCGTGAAATTACCGAAGGTTTTGTAAATCGATGTAATATTGCAAACTGTATAGATAGTATGTTCACGGTATGTATACTTAAATTCTCACAATACAAACACTCACGTCTGTCACCCAGAGGGGTAGGCAGAGACTATGGACTTCCATTTGGCGCGATCCTGACACACCTCTCTCGCCTCCTTTACATTCATATATCTACGCATACACGCTCGTCGGTTAAGGGTACTCCTGATCTGGCCCATTTTAAATGTATCGCCGATTTGGGCGATAAACCTTCGTCTAGGGCATCCCTTCCCGACCCTGCTGTTCATTTCTGCAACATAAATTTGCTTTGTCACTCTTTCTTCGTTCATTCCTTCTACATGACCAAAACACCGAAGCATTCCTTTCTTAATCCTTGTCACAGCGTCATATTGCAAACCACACTTTCCTCTTATCACACTATTTCTCACCCTGTCATTCAGATTCAGTCCTAGCATACACCTTAAGGACCGCAATCGACTGCCAGGGATTTATGAAACGCAACAATATTATGATGCTCTACAATATCCATTAATATTTTGTCACGGTGAAAATGGGTACAATTTCGGAATTTATCAAGTTAATCCTAATACCAGAGAGACCAATTTTTATAAAAAAATCTGCTCTGCAATTTTATTCGTACCTGTTACATGTAAGGCATAATGGTCTTGCGTATCTGCAAAGATTTCGGGGGTTATTTAACCAATTTATAGTGGACATGTAAGCGAGACCAGAGACGTCTGTTACACTGACGTTATCACTTATTGATACAGTAATGATATAAATCGTTTAATATTCTCTTACCTGAATGTCAAATTCTCTAAGTAAAACCTATATACGCGAGCTACGCCGCGGGCACAGCTAATAAATAATAATAACGTGACCATGGGTGCTGTGAAGTACTCGAAACGAATATAAAATAAATTGAAATACGCGATAAAATCCGTAAAATTAGTTTTATTTAGATGTTTACGTGTTTTATTGACTTATAAAAGGCCTATGACACAGTGTCAACATCGATTCTTTTGCGGAGTTTGGAGAACTTGGGTATAATAGGGACTGCACTGCAATGGTTTCAAAGTTATTTATGTGACCGAAAGCAGTGCGTTAGAGTGGATGGATTTTCCAGTAATGACATGCGATGTACATACGTTGTACCACAGGGCAGTACTCTTGGGTCGACATTATTTTTAACTTACGTAAATGATATGAGTAAAATTGAATTAAACGCCACTAATATAACTATGTATGCTGACGACACAATAATAATATTTCATGCAAAGATCTGGGAGCGTGTGAAATAAGTTGCTGAGACTGCCCAAAATTTTGCCTTGGCTAGAAAATAATCTAATTTTACTAAATACAACAAAAACAAAATTAATCTGTTTCAGCAAAACTCTAGCGGGTCAACCAAATGACAAGTTTAAATAAACGATTCATACAAGTCCATGTAACAAACTTTATGATGTTCCAATATCTTGTAAATGTTCTTACATAACTATAACTAACAAAATAAAATATTTGGGAATAATAATTGTTAAAAAACATCTTTTTTATTGTTTACTGTGTTTTAAGTATAAATATATCATTATAGAACGGTTTTTTATAAACAAATCTTTTTATTACTTTTTCTGAGATTTTATGGCGCCATTGAACAAATTCGAACCTACATTCCAAACTAATAACCATAACTTTTGATAGAATTAACCAAATTAAATAAAACAAAAATTAAATGTAACTTGAAGATACGCTTTATGATTTTCTTAACGATTTCTTTAAAAAAAAGATGTTTACTTTAGATGTGATGCGTTTATAAACAAACAGACAGACAGACAATTCTAAAAATTATAAAAATGTGCTTATTTAATTATTTTCATTTCCCTATAATGATTTTAGTGACAAATATTCAATACAATGTACAAAAAAAGACAAATGTTATCACCATTTTTATTATATCAGGTCATAAATTCTGTCACATGTTTAATATAAAATAATTGAAACAAGTTTATTCATTATGTAACCATTTATATACCAAAATGAACTTAACGAAACATAGATTCTTATGACACTAAAGTTTATTCAAAATGACCTCCGTGATTTTGAATACAGGCCTTCAATCTGCGCGGCCAGTC